TTACAAGAAAAGGGAATTTTATTGGATATTGAAGCATCCTAATGATTTGTTCTCTGTTTACGACTAAATACCTACTCAAAGGCATATCTTATAGACTACGAAATAAAATCTGATATGAACCGTGTTATTATCACAGATGATTTTTACAATACGTGAAATATATATCATAAAAAGAATAAATTGAGTTAGTAAACAATCTAGATCGATCATTGTTTGATATCATAAAATATCAAGAAGGATTTATATTTGATTAGATCCTTATGATCAAAATAATAACTTTTTGTATGTTATTTAATTTACTCCCAATGATATAAAAAAACCGTCCAAAAAGTTATTTTTTGATTATTTCTATTTTATTTCCCCTGATCACCCACAACTCATTAAGTGTATCTATTGTTTAATTGACAAAAACCTAAGTATTAGACAATAATCTAGTGAAATACAAGAAATTTTGCTAATGGTAATTATTTGATGATACTTTTTTCTTAAAAATCTTAATTGCAGAATGTACAACTGTAAAATAGAATTGCGTTGATCTTATTTGGGATTTTACCAGTTTGATAATATAAATTGTGTATACCCTGATGTTTACTCGATTGTATTTTTACTATTTTACGTTGTATATATCGTCCTGATGTCTGGACGTATTTTCAAAATTATAAAAAAAGCATGAAGGTTTTTGTCTGCCAGCTTTTAGGTATTAGTTAAGAATCATAGGTGAACGCTTCGTGTCTCATTCAATTATTACCGCTTCGACAAACATAGAATCTGATGTTCAGTAGTTGTCGTTTGTTGATGTGGTTCACAAGTGTTTCTCGTTTCTCGTTTTTTATATAGATTAGACCCGTTGGTTTTCCCGTTTGAATGGTTTTACACTAGTAATTTTTGTGGCCCTTTATAGCTTACTGTTCGGTGTGAGCCAAGGCTCCGTGTTGAAGACCGTACTGTGACCTATAATGGTTTACTTTTATAAATTTTGACTTGGATGGAGAGTTGTCTCATTGGCACTCATACCACATCTTCTTATATCTATTTACATTATAATAATATAGGAAGAAAATCCAAGGAGGTAATAAAAAGTCGGAGAAAGACAGATAATAGACAAAGGTATGGAAAGTTAGGCATTGGCATCGTTAACATCTCTCAACTACGAGGCTTACATCAAGAAATTACAAGAAAAGACAATTACATTATGTTATCATAGTGAGAAAAAAAAGCCTAAAATCTTTGGATGACAAAAAGGTGCTTATACGAAAAATGCAAGTACTATATTATTGATGTTCGGTTAAAAGATTATTTCAAAGGTGTAATAAATAACTAAAATTCAACAACAAGTACCTTACACCTGATAACAGTTTTCTACTTCAAATAGCAGTTTTATAGTGACAATAATCTCAACATCATAAATAGAGTTATATTTAAGCACTCCCCTAACGTTAATGTCTAGCACATTGGTTTGGCAAATATAGAGTTTTGTAATAAATGACGCATCAATAAATGAATTTTGACAAGTTTATATTTGGATTTGTGAATGCTGCCATTCTGTTCTAATGAAAATACAAAACATTGACGTATAAAGGACTCTAGTCTCGCAGGAGATTTTAGAATAATCCTTTGTCTGACAAATGACGGTCTATAGTACATGGTAAAATCAAAGTACTGACTTACTAAGAAATCGGATGATCCTTAGAGATGATGACTGACGAAACAAAGTTAAAATGTTTGCTGAACGTATTGCATGCATAGTCAGGACGAAAGAAAAATAAACATAAGTCAATTAGTAGGGATGAAGGGTGGTGAATATAGACTGCTACTGGAAAAGAGGGTACATTAGATAAGGGCTGAAATGTTGCATTCAGCCACTAAATATATACAGATAAATACATGGCCTTTTCATTATCGACCCGGGTATCACTCCGAGACCCCATATCAGTCCAAGACGTTGGTCTTTTTATCATATAGTGATATACTACCGATGAACGACAGCACCTATCCTGATAACCCCATATGAGCCCGACCACGTGACGCCACATAGGGCTGATATTGGTTATCAGTCTGGGTGTGAATTTATGGCTAGTTTACTTCCGTTCGTGACACATATGCAAAAAATATCATATTGATGCTAATTATTTGATAAAAATTATTAAAAGATAAACTGTTAATGATTCTAGAACTAATTCGATCTATACTAAGAAACTTTTCATACTTTACGTAACGGTCTGTCATTGCAATATTTCAATCTGGGCCATGACATAGAAACTTTTTTCTTATTACGTGGGTTCACGTTAGTATATTAGGTGCTCTTGTAGTCTTTCGGAATAATGGAAATCTCTACTATCTTTTCGAAATACATCTGTTGTTTTCTATGGCCACCTGGGACGTCACTGAGCGTTCACCTACGTAATAGGTAATTAATTGCTGTAACAAGTTGCGTTCTTTAAAAAAAGAAATGCAATCGTGAACCTAAATGCCTGTTAGATATGAAAGATCAGATAATTGTTATTTTAAGATTCATGGGTTGTCTCATTTTATTAAATGAGACGTAGAAAAATTGGCATGCACTCGTATTGTAACTGCTGTTCAATGTTGGGCATAATATTCTTGTCAACGAAATCATTTATATCTCTCCCCCTCCCTCTCTCTTTCGAAAGATAACATTATAACATGCTAAATAGGAGGCAACCACTGGATGTTCTATCCTGAGGTGTTGTTATGGAAATTAGAGGTAGCTCTCTGGCTAAAGTAGAAATGAAAATGTGAAATCAGTTTTTGTTTTAAAGAAGTTTAATGAAATGAATCGTGATTATTTGATTTATAGCCAGTTTTAAAATAGTTTAAAACCCTAGGATGTATCCTTATTTGTTAATACCGAACTAAAACCGTTTTGAAAAATTGCAAGCACTGGTTTATATGGTTTTATCATTGGCTATCGCATTTAATATATGTTTGGTCTTAATGTATTGATACCACAGACAACAGACTCCAATCAGACTTAAAAGATGATAAAATTAATTCAGTAAGCCGAACAATGATGGCACCAGGAAAGGTCTGAGTTGTACATCCATCTATTCCACTAACACATTTAGGTATAGACGCCGAAACAATGGTAGTCCTTTTTTCTAAGAAATCCCTATAATAACTATATATAACAAAACATCAGAAATATGTGCCGTCATCTTTTTAGCTACTGAAATCTTATCGTCTAATGCAAATTTTAACAGAGTACCCCCTCGCCTTAAACTGTGTGAAGACTGCGAAGATTCTAAACCAATCTCGGTATTAACTGATTCAATAGAATCTGAAATTTTCTATAAGTAACAGGAACACATAATTTATTCTTGAAAAATAATAAGCTGGGGCCATGTCAATGAAAGTATCCTAGGATACGTCCTAAGATATGTCTAAAGACATTATTTGGGATGGTCCTAGAACGTGTCCGAGACATGTCTTATGATGTAAAACAAAGCTATCTTAAGACATTCCTAACTAAAATTGTCATAGGACCATCCTAACTATTATTCAATTAATAAAAATATGTAGAGAATTAATTGACATATATTATAATGTATTTCAGTATATATGTAAAGGGCGGGAGGTTGCATCTTTAAGAGAATTTTTTTAACGCAAAATAAAGTTTTAACGTAATACTAATAGATACATTATTATATACTATAAAAAATGATAAATAGATTTCATACAACAACAAAACTAAATGGTCACAAAACTTTGTTGAAGGCGATATTCGTGCTGCAATTTTACTCGGCTATATAAACTAGTTTTGTCATTAGGTCCACTCCATTTCATTACATGTATTGAATAAACCTTTGTAAGAAAAGAAGTCTTTCTGAAACCGAAATTCAAATGTTTTCCACATTTCAATTATTATTGTACCATTTGGTTAGGTGCAAAAAATGTTGCTAATGATGATTGAATTTTTAAGCTTCACAAAATGGCAGCACGAATTATTTTACATGAGCGCAATACTATTGTCACAGTGTAATTTTGCTTAAAAATTCTTATTTGAATTTTTATTAAGAAAAGCCTTATTTTAATATTTGAATTTTTATATTGCAATAATTTTACTTTTAATGAAAAACATTTTGAAGTTTTGTTAAAAATGGACACTTTATTTATTCTTTGTTATATTTAGAATTCTTAACTTTATTTATTCTTTGTCACATTTAGAAATTCTTAAGGACATAAGAAACAGGTGTTCAATTAAGTATTAACTTTTCTCTTTGTCAAAACTTAAGGTGACAGATTTTATTACATAAGATCCTCTTACACTCTTTTGTTCAAAAAGATGTAAATTCTTTGTTAATCAGAATGTCTACATTAGTTTCAATTAAGCTCTTACGTAAAGCTTCTCCGAGCGATATAGGGGATAATCCTAACACGTGGTAACTTTAAATTTTGTGTTACCATGGATTAATAAGTAGAAACGAATTCTGATTGGTTAAACCTGAAAAATTGTCCAAATCTGTGAATTGTCTTTATTCACTAAATAGCGTCACTTTTCAAATTGAACGCAGTGAATAAAGACTATTCTCAGAAATCAGATTTGACTATTTTCAGGTAAGTGAAAACTAAGTTTTATTTTTATTTTAAAAATCTATTTCTTTATAGATTCAAAGTATTTATTTCATTTTTACAATGTATATTTAAAAGTTCTAAAAGCTCATGTTAATGCATATGAGTTAAGCCAAGTTATCATTTTATAGAGAAATTATCATTTTCAATAGTTAGAGAAAGACGCCAAACCAGTTGGTAAATTTTAAATATGTATATATCTTTTTCAAGTTAATATTTTGAAAGTTTTTATCTATTTCAAACATATTAAGTATTTTTGTAAATGAACACTAGTTGCCAAAACTAGACTAAAATGAACACGCTTCATCAGAAGTAATTTTTATATGGGAGACAACTCCAGTTTTTACCGCGACAATTCATGAGCAAGTAATATGTATCAATTTACAGTTTACCCATTATTTGTGAACAATGGTAGGTGTAAGAACATTATTATTCAAAGCTTTTTGCATTAGTTCTCATGGTCGTTAGGTAACAGAAAGCTCATAGAAGCTAGTAAACTGAGGTTCTCTATTTATCCCATAGCAAAGCCCAGTGTTTCTTGTTTTCTTATTTCATAAGATTCCCAGTGTGTTTATATAGTTTTCTTGTTCAAAGTAAATGCGTTTATTGAACTTCATTTATTGTGTTATATGCTAGATGTATAAAGTCCCCCATGTTCTTATTTTTTAGTATGTGAGCTAGTCCCAGTCCCAAGATTTAACTTTCACAGTTATCTCCCCCTTTATATGCAAATTTGTTTACAACTGTTTGCTTTTCTGTAAATAATAGCCTACAGCTATGTTACACCGTAAATACATGTTTTTAATAGTAAAAGTTTCTGAGAATAAGTTGAAATTATTATTAGAGAGATATTTGGTCGCTAAAATACTTTAAATGAGTAGTTTATAAGTTGTTTAAGTGTTTACTGCAAATCCCATGCATGTCAGGCTGCACAATTCAGAAACCAGTCAAACCCTTTAGTATTCACACCGTTCATGGTGTAATAGCGAGAACCTTCACAGTTCTTATCTATAGTATTAATAATCCATGATTATTATTGTATCTGTTTTATTGACTGCATTGTTATGATTTATACTTTATTATGTAATACTGTTATTAAGTGACTTTTCAAATTGAACGCAGTGAATAAAGACTATTCTCAGAAATCAGATTTGACTATTTTCAGGCCTGTCAGAAGACTCACGTCAACAAGATTATTATCTTGTCGCAGCACTGAAAATCATACAGTCAATACCACCCTGCATCTGCCTGTCACACTTGCTTCAAAAGCTCTACCACAAATCAAGAACAAACACACACAAAACTCAGATTGACAATTGGCGGCGGACCCAAAGTTCCCAGCAAGAGACAGCAGACCGCAACTTCATAATCAACTAGAAATTCATGAGCTACTGGTTAAGGTCAGCAGACATGCAGCCCCTGAATGCAGTAATCATGGACCAACCCATAGTGGAAGAAATACATGTTCAGCCAGAGAATCAACCACCTCCACCAGCACCTGTTCAGAACCAACCACCACCACCTCCACCTGTTGAGAATCAGCCACCAGTTTTGCAGAACCAACCACCAGTTCCAGTGCAACAACCACCAGTTCAGGCTGCAGCTACAGGGCAGGGTAACAATAGACCCGCGCCCCCAGGTTTTACTAATTCTAAAATAATGGTAAACTTAAAACATTACAATGGCGACACTGATGCCGTTCAATGGTGGGCAAGTTTTCTTGCCTACATTACCCTTCAGAGAATGGCAGAATGGGAGGCAATTCTTGTCCTACCTTTTTACTTGTGTGGCATTGCCGAACAATGGTTTGAAATGATCGATTCAACTACAAAAGCCTCTTTGGCAAACATCAAACTATCATTTCTTAATCGCTTTAAACAGCACAAGCAAGAAGACATTGGTCTTACTTATCTTAGACAACAAGAAAATGAACCTGTCGATCAGTATCTACACCGAGCCTTGAATTATAATAAAACAAACAGTGTGTCAGAACAATTTTTATTAAAACTTGCATACAGAGGTTTAAAACCACAAATTCAGCAGATAGTTGTACCCCAAAATCCGGTGTCAATGTCTGATTTACTCAGCAAGTCGATTACAGCCGAAATGACCGTTAACATGGTACAACCCCAACATTCAAACGTCGAAAACTCAATTATCAAAGCTGTTTCTTCCATTGAAGACAAAATAATGGACAAAATTTCTCAAAGATTAGACTCTATAGCAGCATTAAGTTCCAACAAACAACAGTCTGATTATGTGCCCTATAATCCAAGAAATAATCATGCTAATAACTATCAACATTTACAATCTTTTCAGGTGCCTACTTACAATGACCGCCAGCCAATGATGCCAGTTCAAAGACAAAGACCAGTAATGAATAACGGTCCACCTGGATCCTGTATTGGCTGTGGTAAGTCATGTAAATCAAGGTCAATCTGCCCCGCTTACAAAAAGTCATGTCATAAGTGTGGTAAACAAGGTCATTTCAGCTATGTTTGTTTAAGTAAGGGAAATCAAAATGTGTCACAAGGAAATAGGGCATAGGGATTCGAGCCTTCCTTTAGGCAGCAGTCTAGGGGTAGGCACAAGGATTATACAAATCAATTTCATGTAAATGACAAAATTAGTACAAACAATCAGGTTTGCACAATTATTTCTTTGGACTCAGACAAATGCACAACTTACGTCACCATAGGTACAACCAGAACCAAAGCTTTGATAGATACAGGTGCAAATATTTCTGTTATAAATAGAAATCTCTTACATAAGACCTCTTATGCTAAAGTTCCATTGCAACCTGGTGCAATGAAACAAGTTATTGCAGCCAATGGCAATCATGTACAAGTTCTAGGCAAGATATCAATTACCCTTCATGTAGGCAATAAGCAGTTTACTCAAACTGTTTATGTTCTTGACCAACTTCACCATTCCCTCATTCTTGGTGTTGATTTCATGAAGAAAAATGGAGCTTTCATCAATTTTCAAGATTGTACTTTAGAGTTGAAAGACAACCCAAATATTGTTCTTAGTTCTATTACTTTAAAGTCAGGCTTAGTTCGGACTAAAAAGGTGGTTACTCTTCCTAAACATTCTGAAACCTTGATCCAGGTATCTGTCTCAAAGCAAGACGAAGATAGCACAGTGCTTTTAGAGCCTTTAGATGCTCCTCCTCAATTTCTTCAGAATGTTGTTGTGGCAAAATGTCTAGTCAAAATTCATAATGGCAAAGCTCATTTAAGACTTTTAAATCCCACGGCTACAGACATTAAGCTAAGACCACACAAAGTGATTGCCAAGGTTTCACATGTCAACACTGAAGAAATTCACTCTATAGATGATAAGCAATCAGCTGATACTCCTTCTTTTTCTCCTCCTACTAAATCAAAGTCTGACGACATGACTTTTGATCTTACTAGTGCTTGTTTGACTTCAAGTGAAAAACAAAAGCTTCTAGCTTTCCTACAGAAAAACAGGTCCATCTTTGCAAATTCTCTTAAAGAGCTAGGATGCACCCATTTATACAACCACCACATAGAGACAGTTCCTGGTGCAAAACCTTTCAGATCACCTCCATATAGGCAAACTCCAAAAGTTCGAGCAGAACAAGATAGGCAGGTCAAAGAACTTCTTGACAATGACATTATTGAACCCTCATGTTCAAATTGGGCTTCACCCGTTGTCATGTGCTTCAAGAAATCAGGCGAGATGAGGATGGCGATTGATTATAGAAAGGTCAATGCTCTTAGTATTCCTCAGACATTCCCGTTACCCCATATGGAGAGTGTATTTGATGCAATTGGAGAGGTTAAGGCTCAGTATTTCTCATGTGTCGATTTAAAGTCTGGTTTTCATCAGGTCCCCCTCACGGAAGAGAGCAAACATAAAAGTGCTTTTATCACACAGACAGGAATCTATCAGTTTAAGAGGATGCCATTTGGTTTAATGAACAGTCCTATCACCTTTCAGGCTATGATGTCTCATGTTCTTAGGGGCCTCAACTGGAAATTTGTATTGGTATATGTCGATGACATTCTCATTTTCTCTCAAACTTTTGAAGACCACTTAAACCATCTATCCCAAGTCTTTGATCGGTTGAGGCATGCCAATTTGAAACTTCACCCTAGTAAGTGCCATTTCGCAGTAAAGGAAATAATGTTTTTGGGCCATATCATTTCTAGAGAAGGCGTCAAAGTAGATCCAGCTAAAACTAGTGCTGTCAGCAAGTTTCCAACCCCACAAACACAAAAACAGTTACGAAGCTTTCTAGGCATGGCAAACTACTATCGTCGTTTCATTAAGGACCATTCTAAGATTGTCTTTCCTTTAAACACTTTACTTCACAAAGACCAACCTGTAAAACTGAAGTGGACTCCAAAATGTCAAACAGCCTTTGACACTATCAAGCATGCCCTTGTCAATGCTCCAGTTCTTAGTTATCCAGATCTAGACAAACCTTTTATTCTTACATGTGATGCATCTGATACGGCTATTGCTTTTGTACTAGGACAACTGAACTCTGACAACAAAGAATATGCTATTGCCTATGGTAATAAATCTTTAACAAAAGAGGAGCGCAATTATACCACATCAGAAAAAGAGTGCTTAGCTATTCTCAAAGGTGTTGAAACCTTTCGTCCTTATCTGGCCAACAGTGCTTTCACAGTCATTACTGATCATAATGCTCTAGTTTGGTTAAAGTCAGCTAAGCACACAGGTAGACTTTCTAGATGGGCTCTTAAACTTCAGGATCTTAATTTTGACATTATTCATCGTCCAGGGAAAAGTAATGTTGTAGCTGATTGTCTCAGTCGTGTACCCAATCCTTTTCGGGCCACACAAATTGAAACTCTTTCTATACCAACTCAAGAGCAGGTTATATCTTCTTTCGACTCTATTGATTCCTATGTTTCTTCAGAAAACCTGAGTTCTGATTCTGACGATGAAGTACAGTTTGGAGCTGAAGTGCATTTCTATTATGCTTCTGAACATGCAACAGATTGTCAAGAATGTCCTATTATATCTGCAGTGGATACTGAAAACATTCAAAACATAGTTGAGGATAAACCTGCACTCTCTGAACTACAAAAACAATGTCCTGAATTCTCAGCCATCTACACTTATCTTGAATCTGGTGACCTTCCTGAAGAATCAAAGCACAGAGATAAAGTTGTTTCAGAGAGCAAATATTTTTCTTTGTCAGATAGTGTTCTTTTTCATTGGTATCAGAAACGTTGCAGAGGCATGGACCCTGAGTTTAGAAGAATCAAGCAAATAGCCCTCCCCAAAACTCTTCGACTTGAAGCGCTCCAATCATATCATGATTCATTGGCAACAGGAGGACATTTTGGTATTGACAAAGTCAACAATTCCCTTATACAAAAATATTGGTGGAAAAGTATGCATCAAGATATCACAGACTATGTTAAATCCTGTGATAGGTGTCAGAGAGCCAAGCAAAACTGCAACCCAAACAGACCCCCTCTTACCAAGATGCCCCAGGTTGGTCGTTTCGATAGATGGCATATAGATGTTCTTGGCCCCCTTACTAAAAACTCACAAGGTTATGAGTACATCTTATTGGTCATTGATGCTTTCACTAGATGGTGTGAAGCATTTCCCATGAAAACCCAGACTGCAAAGGAGATAGCGGATAATCTATACACAG